TTCTGTGCTGGCCCACGGCCCCTGACCTCTCGGAGTGGATGGTGTATACGGCAGGCAACCATCTGTATCCCGAGGGGCGGGCCGACTATACCTCAGTGGTGAAGTGGACTGGCAAGCGAGTGTACCCGCCTGGCACGACCAATGTGGTTGCCTTCAGCCGGCCCCTGACGGACGAGGAGCTCCTCAGCGTCGTCAAGCGGGGCCGCGGTGAGGCGATCGCTGACCACGGCAACGCGGCCGCCACATGGGCCGGGACAGGTGTGACCTGGACCGGTCGCCGCCTCGCAGTGCCGGACGTGATGGCGGTCGACGCGCCGAGGGTCGAGCGGCGGCTGCGTGGCAAGCAGGTCCGCCCCGCCGAGGCCGAGGCGGCTGCGCCGCTCGCCGATGCCGACGGGGCCGCTGGCGCCACCGGGCCGCAGCCGCCGCCGCCCGAGGAGCTGCCGCCCGGCGCCTGGGTGCTGAGCTCGCTCGACGGCGGCGCCGACTTCGGGCTGGAGGTGAGACTGTCGCCGAACGCCGTCGTCCGGGGCAGGTATGGCGTCGACCAGGACCCGCGGGGCGAGTGGTTCCCGATCGAGTTCGTGACGGACGACGCGATGGAGCGGTGGCGCGAGGACAAGCTGGTGGCGGCCGACAAGCTCCGGCCCGCCCGCGAGGCCTTGGAGGAGAGGCTCTTCCCAGGCCGCGAGGCCGGCGCTGGCGGGACCGCCACCCCCCCGCCAGAGCCAGAGGGCGGGGGGCTTGGGCCCGAGTGCGCCGCCACTCACGAGATGGAGGACTTGCGCACGTGCTGGATCGACACCGACGAGACCGGTGCCAGGTTCAAGGAGTGGAGGAAGGTCGTGCAGGAGAGCACACAGGAGATCTTCTCGGACTCGAGCATCCGTGGGCCCCCTGCCTGCCTCGAGATTTGTCGTAAGATGTATCGCCATGGTGGCACACCCAAGATGTGGTTTCAGGAGTGGTGCAAGGAGCAGGGCGTAACCAGGAAGGATCGCGCCTACCACGAGGTGCAGACCTTGATCGAGGTGCTGTACCTGGCGGGGACCTATGACCAGCTCAACATGGGCGCCCTGGCGTCGTTGGAGGTGGTCTCGCGGCGGCTGTTGCAGTATGTGGAGGCCTACGCGCACGGGGCCGAGAACGCGAACTGGGGCGCGGCGAAGCACCTGGGCGGCACGACCAACCCGCTCGACTTGGTGCCCGACGCGCTCCGAAGCTATGCCAGCCGACTGTCCAAGGAGGAGCAGGAGCTGGAGGCGCTGCGGATGCGGTCCCGTGTCCCCGGCGCTGCTCCAGCCGACGGCGCGGGCGCGGCAGCCGCGGCCGTCGCCTCTGGCGGCCTGCCCGCCGCTGGAGCTGCCGGCGGCGCCGCGGCCGGCGCTGAGGGAGGTGATGCGGCCGGCAAGGGCCGCGGTCGAGGCGGGCGGGGCCGCGGCCGCCGCCCGCCGGGCACATGACGCCCGAGGCCGAGGGAGGCGGGTGCCCGACCGTCTCCCGCAGAACCAAGGGCAGTTCGGGGCTCCGTGGGTCGGCCTGCCTGCCCATAGCCCCGCTGGCGGCGCTCCCGGACGACTGGTGCGACGGCCTGACGCCTGGTCAGCGGCGCCGCTGGCTGCGAGACGACAACGCAGCCTGCAAGAGCTTGAATTACTTGCACGGTGGTGAGCATCGCAGTGGCACGGCGCCCGAGGGGAGCGTTAGCCAGCGTAGGATGGATCTCATCAGGGCCGATGTGCAGCAGCGCGTCTTCTCGGCGGCTCGTCGCTGGATTGATGTTGACAGCGCCATCACAGAGCAGGAGGCTTTGGCCAAGCTTCTGAAGGGCAAGGCGGGCTACGCTCCCCTTGGCTCTACCAGCATGGGCTCCTACGAGTGCTCGCGGGTCAGCTTGCCGGACTACGTCCTGGACGCCCCCAGTCTGGCCCAGATGCTACCTGCGGAGGCGAGGATTTTTCTCGAGGAGTACTCCACCAAGATGCTGCTTCCCCCTCGTGAGGCGGCGCTAATACGAGAGCTTCATGGACTTCCTGGTTGTCATACTGACCCTCTGCTGCTCCAACGTCCTCGGAGCTACGCGAAGTTCGTGAGACGAGCGCTCAGGATCGGGCTCGTGACTTTGACCCGACGACCCTTGAGCGTTCTTGGATTGTTTTTTTGTAAAGAAGAAGGATGGTGAGCGCCTGCGCCTCATCGTGGACTGTAGACGCAGCAATGCTCTTTTTCGTCCCCCGCCTGGTGTCGACTTGCTGTCAGGTGAAGGGCTTGGCCGCATCGAGGTGCCGGTGTTTAAGGAGGGGGACCTCAGCGAGCTGCGCGTTGTCCTGGGGGTCGGCGACGTCGCCGACTGCTTCCATCGGATGAAGCTGGACGGCGACATTCGGCGCTATTTCTGCTGGCCGCCGCTGCTGGCCTCTGCCACAGGCGAGACCCTCATCGAGGGTCAGGCGGCCGGCGACTCAGAGATGGTGTGGCCCATGAGTCAGAGCTTGCCGATGGGCTTCTCATGGTCGCTCTTCTTCGCGCAGGCGGCCAACCAGTCGCGGCTCGATCGGCAGCCGTCCTTGGCAAAGAGCTTGCGGCTCAGTGATCGAGGGCCGCCTCTTGTCCTTCGCCGCGGGCCACATAGTGAGAACCTCGGCCACTTCATGTACGTCGACAACGCCGGCGTCCTTGGCTTGTCGGACACCGCCGTCCGCTCAGCCCTTCACGAAGCCCAGACTGATTTCGATCGTGACCATCTCAAGTTTCATGAGGTTGAACTTCACGTGGGAGGTGGTCGTACACTGGGCTGCCACCTGGATGGAGCGAGGCTCTGCACGCGGCCTACGGACGAGAGGTTCGCAACCGTGCGGAAGGGCCTGCGATGTCTCCTCAGGCAGCGCAAGGTTGCCGGGTGGCAGCTTGAGATGGTGCTGGGCCACATGACGTTCATGGCCTTGGTTCGGCGCGAGCTGCTGTCTATCTTTCACGCAGTGTACGCTTTCTTGACGAGCAGCTATCACACCTTTTCAGTCCTTTGGCCCACTGTTCGAGAGGAACTGGAGTGCTTCTTGGGATTGATGGTGATGCTCGAGGCTCGCTGGGACCGCGACTGGATGCCTTTCGTTTACTCGTCGGACGCCAGCCTCTACGGATACGGCGTCGCAGAGGCGGAGTTTGACTCTGCCCAGGTGGCTCTAGTCGGCCGCATCTCGGAGCTGAGTCGGTGGCGTTTGGGCGCTGGTCTGGCTCGTCAGCACGCCTTCGAGAGTGCCGGGTTTCTTTTGAACTCAGAGACGGGCGAGGTTGTCCGCGACGCCGAGGGGGCGCCGAGGCGGCTCGACTCCGAGCTGCTGGACATCCTCAACAGCGAGCGCTGGGAGTGCGACCCGGCGTTCCCCGAGGTCCCGCATGAGCTGCTTCACGATTCCCACTGGAAGACCGTGATGGCAGATCGCTGGGTTTTTGCTGACGATATTCTGAGGCTTGAGGCCAGAGCACTGGTGAAGGCTGCCTCTCGAGCGGCCCATTCTCAGCCAGTCAAGGACTGCCGCGTCCTCCTACTGGGGGACAATCTCTCGGTAGTGCTCTGTTTTTGTCGTTTCAGGTCCAGGGATTTTCGGCTGCTAATTCAGGTCCGACGTTTTGCTGCGCTCTGTCTGGCGAGAAACATCAGATTTGTTGTCCGATGGATACCAAGCGAGTTCAACTCTGGCGATGAAGGCAGTCGGAAGTTTGATCCAGAATATGACAGCTCCAAGACCCTCGTATCCCATTTAGGCTCAAACCAGGCTTCGGGTCCCGTGTCCTCAGGCTCCTCGCGGCAGTGCGATGGAGGGGGCCCAGCCGGCCTCGCAGGGCCGCCAGCGGACGCTGAAGCGCGAGAGCCTGCCGCCGCGGGCGCCGGCCGCGGGCTCGCTGCAGGAGCCGGCGGCGAGTGCGCCTTGCAGAGTGCGCACCCTGAGCCCGGGGGCGGGCGCGAGCAGCTCTGCGGCGGCCCCGCCGGCGAGGCGAGCGCGTGTGCTGGACACGTCCCAGGGCCTGGATGCGAGGCTCGTGGCTGCCGCCCCGCCGCACTGCCCGGCGCAGACGGACAAAGTGGAGGCCTTCCTCGAGACGCCGGCGGGCAAGCTGATTCCAGCAAGCGCAGGCGTCCCCGCGGCGGCCGTGGACGCGGGCGCCTCACAGAGCTACGAGAGCAGCGACGTGGAGGAGCGGCGGGTGGTGACCGCCTCGCGCCGGAACCTCGAGCTTCGGGGCAAAGCTCGCGTCCGCAGGGCCATCCAGGCCCACGGCGGCGACATCTGGAGGCACGGCCACAACACGGGGCTGAGCTACTTGGAGAAGCGCTCGGTGGGGGCCAGGTCGCTGGAGACCTACCGAGAGTGCGCCCTCGCGTTCTGTGCCTGGGCAGGCTTCTTGCTGACAGCCATGCCTGCGTCGGCCGTGCTGGACGTAAAGTTGGTCGAGTACATGAACAAGCTCTTCCTCGAGGGGGTCAAGAGCTGGCGTGGAGAGAAGCGCATTGCTGCAATGATGTTCTTCCACCCGGACTATGGGAAGTCTGGTGGCCTCTACATGCCTCGTGCCCTTCGTACTCTCAAAGGTTGGAAGCGGCTCAGCCCATCAAGATCGCGGAAGCCCTTGGTGTTCGCGATATGGGCGGGCATCGCGGTCGAGTTGGCCAGGCTGGGCGCTCCTCTCGCCGGGGTGATGGTGCTCATCGTGGTGGAGTGCTATCTTCGACCCGGCGAGATGCTGGGGCTGACGTCGAACTCGTTCCTGCCACCATGCAGCCACGCCGTGGACAACTGGGTGCTGCTCCTCTTCCCGGAGAGCGGCACGGCGCGCAGCAAGACGGGGTCGTCGGACGACTCGATCCCGATCGATTCAGGAAGGATGGCCTGGATGCATCACATCTACCGGGCCCTTCGTGATCGAGGGTCGTCTCAGCCGCTGCTCGGCCTGACCTACCCGCAGTTCTTGGCGCTGTTCAGGCGGGCGGCTCACAACATCGGGGTCGACGCGGTGCCCTACCAGGGGAGACACTCCGGGGCAAGCCTGGACAGGGCCTCGAACCGCCGGACTCAAGAGGAGGTCCAGAAACGCGGGCGCTGGGCCACACTCACCTCGGTCAAGCGCTACGAGAAGGCGGGCAGGCTGAACGAGTCGTGGGAAGGCCTGTCGGAGCTCACGAAGTCGTTCTGCGTGGCTGCTCTGAGGGTGATGGAGGATGTCATCCTTCTCGGCCGCCCCGCACCCGTTCCAGCATCCCAGCGCCCCCCGGCCTGAGCAAGGCCGCCGCCTGCGCCGAGCTCAGGGCGCAGAAGGCTCCGTATCTCTTGGATCTCTTCGCCGGTGGTGGAGGGGTCGCCGCGTGGGCTCGCAAGCTGGGAGTACCTGCCATCAGCTTAGACCTTCGGCAGGGTGCTGACCAGGATGTGTGCAGTGCTGCCAACCTCCGCATCATCGCGGATCATTTTCGCCGTGGTCTCATTCGTGCTGTGATGATTGCGCCTCCGTGCGCGTCCTTCTCGCTGGCCCGGAACAGGTACCCCGTCAGGAGTGCCCAGTTTCTTCAGGGCCTACCACGATTGCGAGCCCATGATCGTGAAACGGTAAAGATTGGAAACTTGTGTTTATCTGTCGCAGTCTACATCATTCGGTTGTGCGTTCATTTCAAGATCCCTTATGCTGTGGAGAATCCAATGGGCTCGTACTTGTGGCGGCAAGATAATGTGGCCGCTCATGTTCTTCCGCACTCGTGGGCTATAGACCTGCATCAGTGCGCTTTCGGTGCTCATTGGAGGAAATCCACGCGCATTGTCATCGGCTGCCCTACCGAGTCAGGCAACCTGGCTATCATTTTCCCGGATCGCCTCAGATGCCACGGGAAGCACGGTTTCTGCTCGTTCCGTCCTGGTCATAAACATTTGATTCTAGAGGGCAAAACGATGACCTCGAGGGCCGCCCAATATCCTTATCGTCTGGCAAAGTTCCTTGCAAAGATCCTACTTGACTTGTAATATGTGCAGTGCTGCGTCCTTCTCTTCTTCAGGGCTTTCTCGCACTACATCAGGGTTGACGCCTTCCCGCACCTCCGTACGGCAATGGTCTGGGTACCGCTGCGCTGAGAACTTCGACTATGCCAAAGAGTTTGGATTTTTGTATTCTGGCTTCTGTCTTGCACGTCTGACGGCTCTCGAGAACCTTGGCGGAATCCATTCGGTATCAGATTGCACCACCGAAAAACGGTCACTAGCATGGTTGTGCGATGCACGGTCTTGCTATGAGTGTTTAGTCTGTTGCACCCCTGCAGTTATCACCCGTTTCCATAACTGCCTGGGCTCAAGCTTGCCCGCCCTCGGCCACCCTGGACCTGTGTACATAGTGCACAAACCTTTCACCTCCTTCTTCCCCTAACGGGGAGCGGATTTTTGTATTCTGGCTTCTGTCTTGCACGTCTGACGGCTCTCGAGAACCTTGGCGGAATCCATTCGGTATCAGATTGCACCACCGAAAAACGATCACTAGCATGATGATGCTGCCCCTGATGATAATGATGAGAGAAGGAGGAGGAGACCGACGACGATGAGAAGGGATGATGGAGGAGTCTGATAAGGATCCACAGTAGGATGATGATATTGACCATAATGAGGCTGATACTGATGAGGCTGGTAACTAGGGTGAAGGAGGATTGTGAAGAGGATGAAGAGGATTATATTCACAGTGTGAGGGGGTATACATGAGGCTGAGATGTGTGACGCTGCCTCGGATGTTGATCATCGGGCCGATGATGATGATGATGCTGATGATGATGACGATGATGATGATGATGATGATGATGATGATGATGATGATACTGATGATGATGATGATGTTGATGCTGATGATGATGATGCTGATTATGATGATGATGATGCTGCTGATGCTGTTGCTGATGATAATGATGCTGCTGATGCTGATGATGCTGATGATGCTGATGATGATGATGATGATGATGATGATGATGCTGATGCCGATGTCGATGCTGATGCTGCTGCTGATGATGATTACGCTGCTGATGATGATGCTGATGATGATGCTGCTGCTGATGATGATGCTGATGATTATGATTGTGATGGTGGTGATGCTGAGGATGAGGACGAGACTCGGGACAGAGCTGGACGAGGAGGATGAGGATGTCTGGAAGAGTTGGCGATGGAGGAGACATATGTGTATGGTTATGCTGCTGATGATGAGGATCAGCATAATAATAAGGAATACGAGGATGCGGCATGTGCGAAACAAACACATATGGTTCTTCTTATGACAATCGTAATGTTGAAGAGCATCAAGATAACAGCGATACTGATAATCGTAAGGAGTAGTTGTGGGAAGAGGATGAGGCAACTGAACAAGATGGCGACGAAGAGAACGGAGAGAACGGTGGGAGTGGGATCCTTGGTATCCTCGCCCTGACGTTCTCCGCAGAGACACCCGGCAGAAAAGCCAGCAAAGATCTCCAACATGTAGCTGACGCGTGGTTCGTCTGCTCCGTGCGACCGCCAACAGGTCCGTCACTGCACTTCTCCCTCTCGCCACGCGGCCGCGGACCGCTGGCTGCGCGGCCGCGGACCGCCAGCCTCTGCAGCCTTCGTCGCCCGCTGGCGCACGAGCGAGCGCTGCCGCAGCTCGTCGCAGAGTGCTGCCGCTCTGCCCGCTCCCGCTCGGGACGACACCGCATGGGGCCGCGCGCCAGTGCCGTAGCTCGTCGCAGAACGCTGCCGTTCGGCGGGTGTGAGACAACCCGTGGGGGATGAAACAGAAACCAGCGTTTTTTTCTCACCCCCTGTTTTTTCCCCCCCGGGTTTTTCACCCCCGCAGGGTTTTTTTCACCCCCGGGTTCTTCGCTCCCGTGTTTTTTCACCCCCGGGTTTTTTCACCCCCGGTTTTTTCACCCCCGCTCCCGCTCGGGACGGCACCGCATGGAGCCGCGTGCCAGTGCGATGGCCCTCAGTCGGGCTGGCCAGGTCGCAGGGCTGGACCCAAACGCCGTTCTGCCGGACTTCGGTGGTGTTTTGTTTGTCGTTTTGGGAGGGAGGTACAGGAAGACAGGTAGAGCAGAACGAAACTGAAGACGAGGGCAACATGAAAAACAACGTTTAAGGTCCAGCACTGCCAGGTCGAACTCCAAGGCCCGCGCAGATCTCTTGGAGATCCGCGCTGGCTGCGACGCCAGAGGCGCTGCCTGGGCCGGTGCAAGAAATCCGCGCAGACCTCCGAGCGTTTGTGCTCACCCAGACCCCCAACGTCGCGATTTTTCTCGCAACCCAGACCCATGGCGGGAGGTTTTTTGCCATTTTCGGCCTCTGGGGGCCCTTGCCGGCCGTCGGGAGCGTCAAAAAACGACTCAGGATGAAAAACCGGTCCAGGGGAATGGGTCGAGACCTCCAGGGGTCGACGTAATAAAAAATCATGACGTCGGGGGTCTGGGAACGTCGACCCCCAGAGGTCTGGACCCCTTCCCCGGGACCGGTGCTTCGCCCCGAACCGTTTTTTGACGGCCTCCGGGGCCCGGTGAGGGCCCCTTGTTGATGTTGTTGTTGTTGTTGTTGTTGTTGTTGTTGTTGTTGTTGTTGTTGTTGTTGTTGTTGTTGTTGTTGTTGTTGTTGTTGTTGTTGAACATTATTTATTCTAAAGAATAATTATTGTTGGGCCCCCTGGTGCGCGCCCCCCCTGCGCCGCCTAGGCCGCAGCTACATTTTCATCATTTTCGTGAGGAAGCCTCAGAAAAGAGGGTGTGTACAGGATCCGGTTGTTTTGTTGTAATCCGCTTTCCCTTGCAAAAAAACAATAGAAAATGACATTTCTTGTTCTAATATAATCAAATTTCAAGAATCCCTTGCAAAAAATAAGGTAAAGTGGACATTCGCGCGCGCAAGACGAAATCCTTCCAAAACCTTAGTGTTCGCAGCGATTTTAACATAAAAACATCAAAAAACCAATGGTTTTTCAACACAAAATTGTCAAAATCTCATCCCGCGCGCTCTTGCGGATTCGTAGGAAACCCAACACTTTTTAAACATTTCTGTCAAACGGGCTTTTGCGAGCAACTTTTTCGAACTTCTGCGACAACGGTTGCGCACCTGCCAGGGCCATCATCCCTGTCAAATAATACATGCGGGACACATGTTGGAAGGCTTAAAACTTCTGTGGGTTAACAAGGCTTAACAACTTCTGTGGGTTACGAACGTAGGCTTAACAACTTCTGTGGGTGTGTACTCCACGCCAGTGTAGTAGCCACGGTCGTCCGCAGGCCACGAAGTGAAGTGTCCGAACGTCATAGGGCGGGAAGCTGGGTGTGGGTGGTGGCGAAGAGTCGTGTGGATATTTGGTAGAGCTTGCACTGCCCCCCCACAAAGTGGGGGTATTGGCTGGCGTCGCATGAAAACCCTGGCACTGGTGAGAACACTGAGCGTTCGGGTAAAGTGATTGTTGTTGTTGTTGTTGTTGTTGTTGTTGTTGTTGTTGTTTTTTTTGCCACAGCGCGAGGATCTCAGGGTATGCAGCTTCTACTCCAGATTTCGTAACAAAAGGGAGGGGGTCTGGACCCTCCAACACAAGCCATTTCAGACCTCCCCCGTGGGAGAACCCTCCAAAAAATCGTCCCCAGACCCCCCAGGCCCTCCAAGATAGCCTGGAAGAGACCCCCCCGAAATGAGACCCCCCTCCCTTTATTACGGAATCTGGAGTATGCTTCCTGCTGCCTGGCCCCGCCCAGGCCGCCGGCTGCGGGGCCCCTCCGTGGCCTCCCGCCCCGCGGCGGCCCGGCGCGCAACGCGTCGGGGAGCGCCACCAGGGAGCGATCGACCAGGGCGCCCTCGAGGGCGCGAAGTTCCTCGCTCTTCGCGCTTCGCGGTTCGGCTCCGGTTCCTCCTCGTCCTCTCCTTCTCCTCTGGGAGGCGGCGCGAGAGCGCGAAGTGAATCGCACGTCGGCCCTGCCCTTCGAGCCTCGGGCCGGACGAGAAGGGGGGGGATTGGGAAAGGGGGGGGTACGACATCTGCTGCATGTAGCTGGTTTCGGCCCCACCGAGGGGCCCATGCCTCGATGCATGGCCGCCTCTGGCGCCGGGAGGCGCCGGCAAAATCAGCTACGTGAGCTGATTCTCAAACCCCCTCTTTGCTATCTCCCTTTTTCGCCCGGCCCGAGAGTCGGGCGTGTCCCCCCCACGGGGGGAAAGTCCAAAGATACACGTTGTTCATTTCTAAGTCTTCGAAAGTTCTTTGATTTTTTGGGGGGCCAAGATCCTCTCATTTCTCATTCTTCTATCCTGGGCCTCTTCCTGGCCCAGGAAGGGGTCCAGACCTCTGGGGGTCAAGTCTAACAATAGTCTGGGGACTATTTTTTGACTATTTTTGATTTTTTGTTGGTATTTTTTGGGTATTTCTTATTTTTCGTCGAAAATCCCCCTGTAGGGGGACACGCCCGACTTAACTCCAGGGTGCCCTGGGTTTCTTAGGTTGCGATGGTTTTGCTCTGAAAGGCGTGGCGTTCCCACACCCAAAATCGAGGGACGTCCTGGGGAGTGGAGGGTTTCTCTTGTGGTGGGCTCCTGCCAGACCCCCGACGTCGTGATTTTTGCACGACGTGACCCTCAGAAATCTGGACCCCTTCTCCGGGACCGGTTTTTCCTCCTGAGTTGTTTTTTCACGGCCCCGAAATCCAGGAAGGGCCCCCAGAGGTCGAGAATAGCGAAAAACCTCCCGTCGTTTTTTTTCACGACGCGAGAGGGTCTGGGCACAGATGGGGAGGAGGAGGAGGAGGAGGAGGAGGAGGAGGAGGAGGAGGAGGAGGAGGAGGAGGAGGAGGGGGAGGAGGAGGAGGAGGGAGGAGGAGGAGGAGGGGGAGGGTAGGAGGGGAGGGGGAGGGGAGGGAGGGGAGGGAGGGGAGGGAGGGGAGGGGAGGGGAGGGGAGGGAGGAGGAGGGAGGGGGAGGGGAGGTGGAGGGAGGGAGGGAGGGAGGGAGGGAGGGAGGGAGGAGGAGGAGGAGGGCTTCCTCCTGCCTCCGCCAGGGTGCCCGCGCGGCTCCGCTCCGCTCCCGCGCCGGCCTTCCGCGCCGGCCTCCGCCGCAGAGGGGCGACGAGCGCCGAGGGCGAGGCTCCCTCTCTGGAGCGCCCCGTGGGCCGAAATGCCCAGACCCCCTCGGGCGAAGGAAAAAGCCACGTCGGGAGGCTTTTCACTCTCCTCCTCCTCCTCCTCCTCCTCCTCTTCGTCCTCCTCCTCTGCGTCCTCCTCCTCCGCCTCCGCCTCCTCCTCGTCCTCCTCCTCCTCATCCTTCTCCTCCTCCTCTTCCTCCTCCTCTTCCTCCTCCTCCTCCTTCTCCTTCTCCTCCTGATGATGATGATGATGATGATGATGATGATGATGGTGGTGATGATGATGATGATAATCTTGATGACGATGGTGATCCTGCGTGTGATAATGTTGTCGATTGCGACCAGGAGGATGAGAAGGGTGGCAAGCAGGTGGGTAGGCCATCCGGTCCCGTCGGCTCTCAGTGGACCACGACCCTCGCGCGCCGACTCGCAGATGCAGGCGGCGCCGCACAGTACCAAGCGTATTGGCAGTTGCGCTCGACGTGCGAATGTAAGGCTGACTTCGTTGGGGAAGGGCCTCGGGCATTCGATCGCAGCACAGTCTTCTTGTAATTCATTTCATAAGAGAACGGCATAAACCTAAGATTTCGAAGTTCCGCGCGGATATTTTGGATCTGCGCAAAACCCCCCTCCGGAGCCGCCTCTGGCGCGATCGTCGCGGCAGTGAGGGGGGCACAACGTCGATCTAAGAAATCCGTGCGGACCTTCGAGCATTTACGTAACTGATGTTGCGATTCTTCTTCTACTTCATCAGTGTCTGCTGGCGTCTGATCATCGTCTTTGGCCGTGGTCGCAGCGGTTACCGCTCTTGCGTTGCGCAATCAGGTGGTCGGATTCGTTCGGCTGGTGACCAGAGTGAAGCTAATAGACGCCGCCACTCGAACCACGATCGGATCGCTCAGTCGTTTGGGCTGGAGTTCCACGGGAGTGCTAGGTTCATTACGCACAGGGCGGGCTCAACCTCAGGGATACTACGATTTTGACGGAATGAGGTAGTACAATGTGTGGCAGTGGATGATGATGTTGTTGATGATGCTGATGATGAGTCTGATGATGATGGTGTTGATGATTATGATGATGACGATGATGATGGTGCTGATGATGATGGTGATGATTGCGACGGTGACGGTGATGATGATGATGATGATGATGATGATGATGCTGATGCTGATGCTGATGCTGATGCCGATGCGAGTGATTATGATTATGATGATGATGATGATGATGATGATGATGATGATGGTGACCATGATGATGATGATGATGATGATGATGATGATGATGATGATGATGATGATGATGATGCTGATGGTGAGGATGATGATGCTGATGCTGATGATGGTGATGGTGTTGATGATGATGATGATGCTGATGATGATGCTGCTGATGACGATGATGATGATGATGATGATGATGATGATGATGATGATGATGATGATGATGATGATGATGATGATGATGATGATTTGGACGATGATGACGACGATGATGCTGATCATGATTCTGATTATGATGATGCTGAAGCTGCTGCTGATGATGGTGAGGAGGAGGAGGACGAGGAGGACGAGGAGGACGAGGACAAGGACGAGGAGGAGGAGGAGGAGGCGGGCGACTCCCCGCCGGCCGCCTCCAACCCCGCGGGCGGCCCGCCGACCCTTTGGCAGGAGCCGCGATGCCGTGGACAGGGCCACCGTGCTGAGCTCGAACGACAGGTCGCCGGGTCGGCATGGAGACGACGACGACGTCGACCCCGACGACGACTACCACGACCGCGACGACGACGAAGACGACGACTACCACGACCGCGACGACGACGACGACGACCACGACCACGATCACGACGACGTCGACGACGATGATGACGACGACGATGACGATGACGGTGATGATGCTGCTGATGATGATGATGGAGGTGATGATGACGATGCTCATGATGGTGATGATGATGCTGATTATACTGATGCTGATGATGATGCAGATGATGATGATGATGATGATGATGATGATGATGATGATGATGATGATGATGATGATGATGTGATGATGATACAGATGATGATGGTGCTGATGCTGATGCTGGTGATGATGATGCTGATGCTGATGATGATGACGAGGAGGAGGAGGACAAGGCGGATGATGATGCTGCTACTGATGATGATGTTGATGATGACGATAACGATGGTGATGCTGATGCTGATGATGATGATGACGATGCTGATGCTGATGCTGATGATGCTGGTGCTGGTAATGATAATGACGATGCTGATGCAACTGTTGATGATGATGATAATGTTGATGATGATGCTGATGCTGATGATGATGCTGATGCTGCTGATGACGATATTTATGATGACGATTATGATGCTGATATTGATGATGGTGATGATGATGATGATGATGATGATGATGATGATGGTGATGATTATGCTGATGCAGATGATTCTGATGATGATGATGATGATGGTGATGGTGATGATGATGATGATGATGATGATGATGATGATGATGATGATGATGATGATGATTACACCTTAGGCGATGCTTAAGAAAACTTGAGTTTTCGGCCAGAGTCTTGATTATTCTTAACGTTTCAATGTAAATCTTAAGATTTGTATAGAAATGTTGGGTTTTTATTCCAGTTCTGAGACTATGAATTTCTTAACCCATGATTTCTTAAGCATTTCGCAGGGTGTATGATTATTATAATGGTGGTGGTGATGGTGGTGGTGATTCTGATTATGCTGATGATGACGACGATGATGATGTTGATGCTGATGATTATGCTGATGATGATGCTGATGCTGATGCTGATGCTGATGATGGTGATGATGATGAGGAGGAGGATTAGGAGGAAGAGGAGAATGATGATGCTGCTGATGATGATGCTGATGATGATGCTGATGATGCTGATGATGGTGATGATGATGCTGATGATGATGATGATGATGATGACGCTGATGATGGTGATGATGCTGACGATGATGATGATGATGATGATGATGATGATGATGATGATGCTGATGCTGATGCTGATGATGATGCTGCTGATGATGATGATGATGACAATGATGATGATGAGAGGAGGATGAGGAGGAGGATAATATGGTTGAGAGAAGCATTCGGAGGAAAAAGGAGGAAGGGGGAGGACGACGGGCTCCGAGGTCCGTTCAGGAGATCTGGCAGTTGCACGAGGGTCTGAAGTGCTACCCGGGCCACGGAGGCGCCTTGGAGTCTCTCCACCTCTTGCTTCTGTCCGCAGTGCAGAAATGAGGAGGAGGAGGAGGAGGAAGAGGAGGATGAGGTGTGAGGAGGAGGAGGAGGAGGAGGAGGAGGAGGGGAGGAGGAGGAGTGGTGAGGAGGGGGAGGAGGAAGTGGATACGGAGGAGGAGAGGAGGAGGAGGAGAAGGAGGAAGAGGAGGAGGAGGAGAGAAGAAGAAGGGGAAGGGGGAGGAGGAGGGAGGAGGCGGAGGAGGAGGAGGAGTAGAAGGAGGAGAAGGAGGAGGTGAGGAAGGGGAAGAAGAGGCGGATGAGGCGAATGAGGCGGAGCGGGAGGAGCAGGAGGAGGAGGAGGAGGAGGAGGAGGAGGAGAAAGAGGAGGAGGAGGAAGAGGAGGAGGAGAAGGATGATGATGACGATGATGATGATGATGATGATGATGATGATGATGATGACGAGGAGGAGGAGGAGGAGGGAGGGAGGAGGGATGAGGAAGGAGAGAGGAGGGAGGAACGAGGAGGGAGGAACGAGTAGGGAGGAGGGAGGAGGAGGAGGAGGACGATGATGGGTGATGCTGCTGCTGCTCCTAATGATGATGCTGCTGCTGATGAAGATGATGCTGATGATGTTGATGCAGATGTTGCTGATGATGATGGTGATGATGATGGTGATGACGACGGTGACGATGCGCTGATGATGATGCTGATTCTGATGCTGATGCTGATGCTGATGATGCTGATGGTGATAATGATGACGATTCTGATATTGCTGACGATGATGATGGTGATGACGACGGTGACGATGCGCTGATGATGCTGCTGATGCTGATGATGATGCTGATGATGATGAAGACGGTTATGCTGATCAAGTTGATCATTGTGGTGATGAGTGTGGTTCTGAAAATGATGCTGCTGATGATGCGGATTCTGATGATGCTGATGCTGGTGCATCTGCTCCTGATGGTGACGAAGATGAAGCTGATGATGATGACGATGCTGATGATGATGACGATGCGGATGCTGATGATGATGCGGATGCTGATGCTGCTGATGCTGCTGGTGACCTTGGTGATGATGCTGATGCTCAGGGTGCTGCTGCTGATTATGATGATGATGATGCTGATTCTAATGATGATGACTGTGATGACGATGACGATGCTGGTGATTATGAGGATGCTGGTAATGATGGTGATTATGATTATGACTATACTGATGCTGATGATGAGGCTGATGGTAATGCTGATGCTGCTTCTGCTGATGATCGCGATGCTTGTGGTTGCGATGATGATGCCGATGATGCTGATGATGCTGATGATGATGATCATTATGCTGATGCGGCTGATCATTGTCATGCTGATGATGGTGATTCTGACGAGAAGGATGCTGCTGATGATGATATGCTGATGATGATGATGCTGAAGTTGAGGATGATGACGATGATGAAGATGATGATACTGCTGATGATGATAATGATGATGCTGAGCTGATGACGGTGACGATGATGCTCATGCTGATGATGCTGATGACGATGGTGCTGATGATGCTGCTGACGCTGATGATGATGATGCTGATGCTGATGATTATGCCGATGATCATTATGGTGAGGAGGGGGATGAGGAGGCGGATGAGTGGGAGGGGTGATGAGAAGACGGATGAGAAGGAGGAGCAGGAGGATGAGGACGGTTGATGATGATGGTACTAACGCCTATGCTGATGATGATGCTGATGATGATGCTGATGCTGCTGCTGAGGATGGTGACGATGGCGATAACGATGACGACGATGATGATGCTTATGATGGTGATGCTGTTGCTGCTGATGCTGATGCTGATGCTGCTGATGATGATGCTGTTGCTGATGATGATGCTGACGCTGATGGTGATGCCGAGGATGATGATGCCTATGAGGCTGATGCTGACGATGCTGCTGCTGATGATGATGACTGTGATGCTGATGATGATGAGGATGATGATGGTGATGGTGATGAGGATGGTGATGCTGATGGTGCTGATCATGATGCTGCTGATGCTGATGGTGATGCTGATGGTGATGCGAATGCTCATGATGATGATGATGCTGCTGTCCATGATGATCATGCTTCGGCTGATGATGCTGATGCCGATGTTGATGATTATGCTGATGATGATGATTGAGATGATGATGCTGAAGACGCCGATGACGATTCAGCTGATGATGATGATGAGGGTACTGATGATGCTGATGATGCTGATGCGGCTGCTGCTGATGGCGATGATGACGGCGGTGATGGTGGTGATGATGATGCTGATGCTGCTGACGACGACGACAGCGACGATGCTGCTGACGATGATGAGGCTGTTAATGATGCTGACGATGATGATGATGATGATGATGATGATGATGATGATGATGATGATGATGATGAGGGTGAGGATGATGCTGATGCTGATGCTGATGCTGATGATGATGATGATGATGATGATGACGATGAGGATGATGCCAATGAGGCTGCTGATGATGATGACGATTCGGATTTTGGTGCTCATGAAGCTGCTGATGGTGATGAGGATGATGCTGCTGATCACGATGTTGCTGCTGCTGATGATGCTGATGCTGATGATGATACTGACGCTGATGATGCTGATGATGAGGATGATGAGGATGCTGATTATGTTGATGCTGATTCTGCTGATGATTGTGGTGATGCTCACGCTGCTGCTGATGCTGATGATGATGCCGCCGATGATGATGCTGTTGCTGATGCTGATGTCGCTGATGATGATGCCGAGGATGATGATGCTTATGAGGCTGATGCTGACGATGCTGCTGCTGATGCTGATGACTGTGATGCTGATGATGATGATGATGATGATGATGATGCTGATGATGATGATGATGATGCTGATGATGATGATGATGTTACTGATGATGATGCTGATGATGATGCTGATGATGATGATGATGTGGATGCGGATGCTGATGATGATGATGCTGATGATGATGCTGATGATGCTGCTGATGGCGATGATGATGCTGAAGATGCTGATGATGATGCTGGTGATGATGCTGATTCATGATGGCGACGAGGGGGAGCATGCAGATGAGGAGGAGGCGGATGAAGGTTGTGGAATCTGATGCTGATGCTGATGCTTCTGATGTTGTTGTTGTTGTTGTTGTTGTTGTTGTTGTTGGTGTTGTTGTTGTTGTTGTTGTTGTCGCCGCTGTCGTCGTCGTCGTCGTCGTTGTTGCTGTTCCTGATGCCGAGGAGGAGGAGGAGGAGGAGGAGGAGGAGGAGAAGGAGGGGGACGGGGGGGGGGAGCGGGGGAGGGGGCGGGGGGGGGATGGGGGAGGGGAGGGGGGGGATGGGGGAAGAGGAGGAGGAGAAGTAGGAGGAGGAGGAGGAGGAGGAGGAGGAGGAGGAGGAGGAGGAGGGGGAGGAGGGGGAGGAGAAGGAGGAGAAGGAGGAGGAGGATGACGAGTATGATGATAATGCTTATGATGCTGATGATGATGCTGCTGCTGCTGCTGCTGATGATGATGATGCTGATTGTGATGATGGGGATGGTGATGCTGCGGCTGATGCTGATGATGAACATGTTGCTGATGATGCTGATGATGATGCTGACGATGCTAATGATGATGATGATGCTGCTGATGATGATGATGCTGATGACGATGATGACGGTGGCGACGCTGATGATGCTGATGATCATGCTATGATGATGACGATGGTGGTGTTGATGATGAGGATGCTGATAGTGATGATGATGGTGCTGATGCTGTTGATGATGATGTTATGCTGATGCTGGTGATGCTGCTGTGTTGATGATGATGATGCTCATGATGCTGAGTATGATGATGATGATGCAGCTGATGCTCATGCTGATGCTGATGATGCTGCTGATGCTGGTGCTGCTGATGCTGATGCTGATGATGATGCTGATGAAGATGGTGATGATGCTGATGCTGATGCTGATGTTGTCGATGATGGTAATGCTGATGCTGATGCTGATGCTGATCATGATGATGATGCTGTTGCTGGTGGTAATGGTGATGCTGATGCTGATGATGCTGATGAGGATGATGATGCTGATTATGCTGCTGATGACGATGATGACGATGATGACGATGCTGATGATGATGATGATGATGATGATGCTGATGATGATGATGATGGTGGTGACGATTGTGCTGAAGATCATGCTGCTGATGATGATGATGATGATGATGATGATGATGATGGTGATTCGGATTTTGGTGCTGATGCTGATGCTGATGCTGATGCTGATGATGCTGCTGACGCTGATGATGATGATGCTGCTGATGATGCTGATGTTGATGATGCTCATGACGATGATGCTGCTGCTGATGGTGATAATGAGGCTGGCGATGCTGAGGATGATGATGATGATGCTGATGTTGAAGATGCTGATGACTATGCTGATCATGATGATGCTAATGATGCTGATGCTGATGCTGATGCTGATGCTGATAAGGAGGAGGAAATAACATACTAACACGACTACCAAGATGAAGCAGACGAATGATAATTATGATAATAATACGGGTACTAAGAACAAGTGTAATAACACTAATCATACCAATCATTTTACGAATTATACCAATAATAGTTATACTGATGATACTACGAATAACAATTTTCACAGGGCTAAGAATAA